GTTGTTTATTGCACCCATTCTTTTGTCTCCAGACTTCTCCAAACCTTTCTCATTACAGGTTGATGCTTGTGAGTCTAGGGTTGGGGCAGTACTGTTGCAAAACGGAAACGAGGAGTTGCAGCCTGTAGCCTTCTTCTCTGCCAAGTTCCAGCCGCATCAGAGGGCTTACTCTACCACTGAAAAAGAAGCCCTCGCGCTGGTACTGGCTTTGGAGCACTTCGATGTTTACGTGGGCCAGACTTCGCAGGTGGTCACTGTCTATAGCGAATACAACCCTGCAGTATATCTCTAAGCCATGAAGATCCACAATACGAGGCTCATGAGATGGAGTCTACGACTGCAACCCTACTCTCTCAAAATATTACACATTGCCGGCAAAGAAAATATGTTGGCAGACTCTATCTAGAGTCTAACAAAGTTACTCTATACTACAATTATATATTAGGTTAGGATGTGTTAGGTTACTTGTGGTAACCCCTTTCAAGCTCTTTTTCTTTTTTATCCCCTGGTGTGGGTTTTTTTTCAGTGAGGGGATGCGGGCTACTGTCCGCCTGTGTCTTGGACCTATGTTAGCCCGACTGTCTGCTGTCTCGCTCTGAGTTTAGGGTTTGGCTTTTTGTCACAAAAAAAGCCGAGCTCTAAGAATTGGATGGTTGAGAGAAAGGCGGTCCCATTATTTGGTGCCATGGCGGGACGGTTACCACTGGGAGGTGGGAGCCTAATCCTGAGCCCTCTCAGGGTGGGGGTGTGGCATGCAAAGAGTATGTAACCTTTATTCGGCACATGTACACACCCTCATTTACAGGCTATCTCCCCCAACCAGTGAACCAGGGACTAAGGGTTGGCGATGGGGCCCCATTGTTCAATCAGTACCCAGATTCCAGCCAATGAGAAGATGGTTTTGGCAATTGCAGAGGTGATGTGGGTACCACTCACCCGTCTGCCCTTGTCATTCCCATTCTAGAGCTGGTTGAAGCACGGTCTTCTCTCTAGTGGCTTCTATTCTGCCTTGCTTACCGTGGAGTGCACTAATACCTATTGTTGTACATAGTGTATATAGTGTACATACTTCTGTTCTAAATTGGTGAAGGATAATATAAGTCAAAAGTTTTTCTGCTGTGTTTATTTTGCTCCCTTTACACCCAGGATAATAGGCCTTTGGGACTCCCGTGTTGTAATATTTTACTTCCCCCTTTGAGCCATGTATATAAGGTCCATTTGTCAGAGATTAAATTTCATAAAATAACATATGTCTTTTTTTTTTTTGAGAGTCAAGTCCCTGATAAGGTGTCTACTGCTCAATTTTCAGGCCAAGCTACCCTAAGAGCCAGTACTTATCAGGTCCCCTATCTTGTTATAACTATCCTGCATTATTTCTCACTGGGTTTTCTCCTGTGTTTTCCTCCTTTCTTCTATGACTATGGCTATTTTTATCTCTTCCACTATTAAATGAGCAGGTGTGGCAGCATACTTCCAAGAGAATAGAGCGCTACCTTCTATTTTCTCATATTCTAGTAATTTCCCCTTATTTGTTTTCTATATTCTCATACAATATGCCATACAATATGGCATCATCTGGCGCTTTGTCGACCCAAGGGTGGGACCGGGGTGGAAACTGCATTTCATAATGAGAATAATTCATCCCGAGAATTGCAAACAAAAGTGGAATATGTTAAGGGGAGTGACTGGGCCAAACGCAGATTCATACACATTTTCTCTGGTGCTGGACCAGAGAAAACATGTTTTCCCTCTGCCTGGCTATCACACCTCCATAGCATATAAACATAGCATGTTTATATGTTATGTAATGCATTTCTTATATAATTTTGAAGAAAATATCTGAGATGGATTAATGAAAATGTGATGAAAGAGTGATTATTATTATGTATTATTAGTATTACTATGGTGTTAAGACTTGAAGGACACTTTTAGTGATTTTAATGTGTACCTGCATGCCAGCACAGTGTGTAAGTATATTTAGGTACAGGTACACATAAGTATTATTATCAGAGTACATATAAAATATGCAATAACTTTAAAACACTTGAAATTTTGGAGAGTTTCCAGACATAATAGAGAGATGTGTTCATGGAGAATGAGCACATCTCTAGAAAGACAGGGAGCCGTATAGTGAGTTTTGGTCATAATTTGAAATCACCGTATTAGCAGAATGCCATAAAGTGGGGCCCTACTGTATATACAACACAAACACACAAGAAAACAAAAGATAAAATTAACAAACAATAAACACTACTAACACAAATAAATAGTATCATACCACGTTAAAACAATCAGTATCAGGCTCTTGACAGACAAGATTTCAAATGTATAAAATTGAATTCCAAGAGCATGGGTAGGATTCAGAATGTGTAGCAGGGAAATATAGCCAAGGACTACACCCAGCAGCCACATATATCACATGGCCGTGTACAGGCAGCTCACAGTCTATGGATTCACTTCCCAGGAAGTCATGAGGAATAAGCTGTACGTTACCCATAATTTACACCACTGTAAAACATCACACTCCAGTACCATAGGTGGTGTACATGTGATGGAAACTGCCATGAATTTCATGTGTATGACTCAACCATTTGTACAATTAGAAAAATAAAAACTTGTGCATTTAGTAGTACTGAGTGTCACTGCCTCTAAAGAATGTCAAAGTTACTAATATGTGTTTGTATTTTTTTTTTTTTTTTTAACAAGTCGGTCGTCTCCCACCGAGGCAGGGTGACCCAAAAAGAAACAAAATCCCCAAAAAGAAAATACTTTCATCATCAATCAACACTTTCACCTAACTCATACATAATCACTGTTTTTTTTTAAATTCACTACCTAACAGAATATCTCCATTCTAACTGAATTTAACAACAATGCATGCAACCATTACCTGTCTTTGAGATACATCTTGTGTTTATAGTAATCAGTTTTACATTAATGTTTTTCACTGATTTCATCATTGCTTAGTTAATCTTAAGTTAATTTTAACCAGCCCGTAATGCTAATGCTTATAAGTGCTTTGGCATGCTGCTCTTATCTGTATCTCTTTTTTTTTTTTTGTACTCTGGGAAGTGTGCCAATTACTATACTAAATAAATAAACTACTACAGTTTAGAAGCATATACTATAAGATATAACAATCCCTCCAAACTGCTAATATCCCAAACCCCTCCTTTAAAGTGCAGGCATTGTACTTCCCATTTCCAGGACTCAAGTCTGGCTATATAAAAAATAACAGGTTTCTCTGAATCCCTTCACTAAATATTACCCTGCTCACACTCCAACAGCTCATCAAGTCCCAAAAACCATTCGCCTCCATTCACTCCTATCTAACATGCTCACATACGCTTGCTGGAAGTCCAGCAATACCTCCTTTACCCCCTCCCTCCAACCTTTTCGAGGACGACCCCTACCCCGCATTCCTTCCCCTACAGATTTATACGCTCTCCATGTCATTCTACATTGATCCATTCTCTCTAAATGACCAAACCACCTGAACAACCCCTCTTCAGCTCTCTGACTAATACTTTTAATAACTCCACACCTTCTCCTAATTTCCACACACCAAATTTTCTGCATATTTACACCACACATTCCCCTTAGACAGGACATCTCCACTGCCTCCAACCTCCTCCTCGCTGCAACATTTACAACCCAAGCTTCACACCCATGTAAGAGTGTTGGTACCACTATACTTTCATACATTCCCAGCTTTGCCTCCACAGATAATGTTTTTTGTCTCCACATATACCTCAATGCACCACTCACTTTTTTTCCTTCAGAATCTCATTTTTCATAAACCCATCAGCTGACACGTCAACTCCCAAATATCTAACAACATTCACTTCTTCCATACTCCCTCTCTCTCCAATGTGATATCCAATTTTTCTTTATCTATATCATTTGATACCCTCATCACCTTACTCTTATCTATGTTCACAAAGCCCTATCAAACTACAACTCCATGTGAGAAAAATTATGAACCTTCACAACAATGTAATTTTAGTGCTGGATGGTTTGCAAATTTTAAAAAGTACAACTGTCTTTATGACATAGTTTTCTGCTCAGCTCTGTAAGTATAGTGGAACCTCGGTATACGACCAGCTCCCTACTCGAACAAAGCTCAGCACCTGCCAGAGCTTTGCTGTAAACTATTTTGTATTTCTTCACATTTTTTGGCACTTTTTTGTATTTGTATAAATAAGTCACCATGGGGTCTATGAAGATTAGTAATGACAGCAAAGTAAACAGAAAATTGGTTTGGAAGAAATTGTTCAATACTCGAACAGCCTTCTGGAATGAATTAAAGTAGCTTACCAAGGTTCCACCGAACCTCAGGGTAAGACATACCAGAGATAAATTACAGAATACTTTAGCACTCCAATATACCCATCAACTACTGACAATGCAGCATCCATATCCACACAAGAACCACAACTATCCACCTCAGGTCAATAATACCACATAATCCTATCCACACTTCCACTTCAAGCAGATAGCACTACCAAAATGTAAAGTTATAATGTAGTAATTTTTACCTTGTATAATGGTAAGAAAAAATTGTTAAATTATTAGTGTCTTCTTTCCTTATGTTCTTCAATACAAACAGTTTTTTAAGTGCAGATTTTCAGGAGCATAACACACAGTACAGGCTGACCATCACTAATCCAGCGCCATTGGGATGTAGGGTGCCAGATTAATGATTTTGCCATATTACAGAGTGGTTAGGATACGCTTAACCCAATGGTGATATTTCTGCATCGGCAATTTCACCCACTTTACGCCCTATTTTTGGTCCATTCCATTGTTCCAGTCTACCAAACTCATAGCTATTTCACTAGTAATCCTCCCATTTTGTCAAGTGAGTACAAGAAACCGCCCATTCACCTATATCGATTACCCAATAAAGTGGTCAGAAATTGGTAATTTGGCCAATTTCACACAAATTTCAAAAGATGCCAATTTCAAAATAGGGCCTAGAATAAACAATGCAAATATTCCTAGCACTAAAATAACATTTTCTCTGTTCAACAGTCACATCTCCAGGCCCCTCTTATACAGTGGAACCCCGGTTTTTGCCCTTAATCCGCTCCAGAAGGTCAGCTGAAAACCGATTTGTACGAAAACTGAAGTAATATTTCGCATAAGAAATAATGTAAATCCAATTAATCTGTTCCAGACACCCAAAAATATTAACAAAAAATACATTTTATAGAGAATAACTATAGTTTTACATACAGAAAAACAATAAGAAATAAATATAAAGTACTAATGAAATGGATAAATGAACATTTAACATCACTTTTACCTTTATGTGTATATATCTTTGGTTAGGCCTCATTTAGATTATGCTGCGCAGTTTTGGTCACCATATTACAGAATGGATATAAATGCGCTAGAAAACGAACAAAGGAGGATGACAAAGCTGATCCTATGTATCAGAAAACTTCCTTATGAGGATAGACTGAGGGCCCTGAAACTGCACTCTCTAGAAAGGCATAGAATTAGGGGGGAGATGATTGAGGTGTATAAATGGAAAACAGGAATTAATAAAGAGAATGTAAATAGCATGCTAAAAATATCTAAAATAGACAGGATTCGCTGCAATGGTTTTAAACTGGAAAATTTCAGATTCAGGAAGTATATAGGAAAGCACTGGTTTGGTAATAGAGTTGTGGATGAGTGGAACAAACTCCCGAGTACCGTCATAGAAGCTAAGACGTTGTGTAGTTTTCAAAATAGGTTGGATAAATACATGAGTGAGTGTGGGTGGGTGTGACTTGGACCTGACTAGCTTGTGCTACTAGGTTGGATGCCATGCTCCTCCCTTAAGTGATGTGTCTGACCTGACTAGGTCAAGGCATTGGCTTAAGCTGGTGGGAGAATTGGACCTGCCTTGCATAGGCCAGTAGGCCTGTTGCAGTGTTCCTTCTTTCTTATGTTCTTATGTTCTTGTTGGCGTATGGAAGATGGCAAGGAGAGGGAGAAGGGGTTATTGTTTGGAAGGGGAATCCCCCTCCATAAAGACTTCAGGTATCAAAGACCTATCTGGGGTTACTTCTCTTCTTTGCATTTTACTGGCAGTAGGACCAGCCTGAGAGTTACTGGACCCCTGAAGCACAAAAATCAGTCCAGAGATGCCTGTTTCTGGTATCTCTAAGATTTGTCTAAAATGGGACACAGCACTGTCATTGAACATGTTGCTGACACAGCTTGCAACAGCTTTGTTAGGGTGATATTTCTCCACAAAAATTTGCACCACACTCCACTTTGCACAAATGTCCTTAATTGCTGAAGAAGGCACATTCTTCCCTGTCTCTTCCTCCTCCTCCTCTGAAGCAATTTCCTCAGCTAAGGTCTGTTGCTGTTCCAGATGAAGGTGTTGCAGCTCTTCAGTGGTCAGCTCCTCCTTGTGGCCCTCCACCAACTCTTCCATATCCTGGTCACTCACCTCCAACCCCATGGACTTTCCCAAAGACACAATAGATTCCACAACAGGCATAGGGTCATCAGGGTCAGCCTCAAACCCTTCAAAATCCTTCTGGAGGACACATCCTGGCCACAATTTTCTCCAATAAGAGTTAATCATCCTGGAAGTCACTCCCTGCCAAGCCTTATCTATAAGGGTTATGAAATTGAGGATATTGAAAGTGATTCCTCCAGAACTCTCTTAGGGTCGATTCAGTGTCCGAGGTCACTTCAAAGCACCTTTGAAACATTGCTTTGAAGTACAGTTTTTTGAAGTTTGAAATGACCTGCTAGTCCATGGACTGGATGAGAGGAGTGGTATTAGGGGTCAAGAACTTCCCTGTGATGAAACTAAACTCCCCCAACAATTGGTCTTCCAAGTCTCGAGGATGAGCAGGAGCATTGTCCATTACCAGGAGCCACTTGAGTGGCAATTTAGTTTCCAGGAGGTATTTCTTCACACTCAGGCCAAACACTTCATTGACCCACTCAATGAAAATTTGCCTCATGACCCATGCCTTATTGTTAGCCTTCCACAGCACACACAACTTACTCTTGATGATGCTGTTGTTCTTGAACATTCTGGGATTTTCAGAGTGATACACCAGCAAAAGTTTCACTTTGAAATCCTCACTAGCATTACCACAGAACAAAAGAGTTAGCCTATCCTTCATAGGCTTGTGTCTTGGCAGTGCCTTTTCTTCCTGCATGATGTAGGTCCTTTGGCATTTTCTTCCAGAAGAGGCCTGTTTCATCACAAATGAACACTTGTTGGGGGAGGAATCCTTCAGCCTCTTTGTACTCCTTGAATTCATCAACAAATTCTTCGGTCCCATGTTTGTTCGAACTTGCAGCCTCGCCATGCCCTAACATGCTGTGTATGCCGCTTCGCTTCTTGAATCTGTCGAACCAGTCTTTGCTGGCCTTAAATTCACTAACAGTAGCACTCATTCCAGGTATTTTCTTTACGAGATCCACATGCAACTGCCTTGCCTTTTCACAAATTATCGCCTTCACAACACTATTTCCTGCTAACTGTTTGCAATCTCTGTTTCGTTAACACATTTACCCCTTTCGCAACATCAGCTTCCTTCATTACTTTTTCTTCGCCAAGATGGAACTAATCGTTGATTTGGACTTCCCATACATCCTGGCGAGTTTCGGCCACTCATACGCCACTTTCATGTTTTTCTATGAGTTCTTTCTTGAATTCTATTGTGTTTCTCACCTTCTTTACCAAAGGGCTGGCACTCAGAACTTTCTTTGGCCCCATGGTGACTTATTTAGCAGTCGCAAGCACAAAAAACAATGGATTATTACAAAATGCTTCGGATGAACGCACTGAGTGATGCTCACTGAACAAGTAACAAAGGCAGACTGAGTCACTAATGTATGAGCGACCACAACCCACAGGCAGGTGGACACATCTGGTATGAAAACTGAATTGTACGATAACCGGACCAGACAAAAACCGGGGTTCCACTGTACTACTCTTGCTTTCCATTTTGAATTTTTATCCACACAAAAAATAGAAGATTTACTGTTATGCAGGACTACTGCATTATTATAATAATTGTATAAATAATGTCAACCAATACGTGACTGAGTATTAGACCAGCCAGTTGGACATGTATTGGACACGTATTCGATTTTTGCTGATGTTGAACATCAGCAAAAATCGAATATTTCCGCTACTTTGAGCTCAATTTCAAGGTACTTTCCCTCATGAAACCAATCAAAATCACATCTATGTGTGTAATATATCTTCAATTCTATCAAATGAGACCAAAAAAAATGAGAATACAACCATAGAAAACATAGAAAAATACACCGCAAATTTGCTGTTTTACACCAAAAACACAGTCGCATTTTTTTCTCATTATGCACTGCGTGCTGCAAGATTTTTTTTGATATGGTGCACACTTACCACACAGACCTATTCTCTCATATGTAGGCCCAAATTTACTGGTCACAGCTTATCTGAGTGAGGTGAGCTCATGGTGACCAACAGTGACTTCAAAGCCACTTATCTTTTATGGACAATGTACTGTGTATGTGATTTACACAACAAGAAGCATTTCTTTTATTTGTTGAAACTATGGTTAGGGCTAAAAGTGAGCAGGTTATAATAATAAATGGAGAAAAAGAAAGTGGAATGACTTACGCAGCAAGTAGTGCCACCAAACAGTAGCGGGAGGTTGGTGTGGCAACCCCGGAAATTTGAAATTATGCTAGTCAAAATTAGTACCGGATTACTGATTGAACCGGATTACTGATTGCCGGATTAGTGATGGCCAACCTATGTTTAGTTTCATAATTAAAAATAAATAACAACAGTGCAAATTCCTAAGGGAATTAATTTCATCATATAACAGGCAATTTTTCTTTAAGTTCCCATCCACCCTGCTGTGCCGTAGTGTCTTCAAAGTTAGTTTTTCTTAATTTCCTCTTTTGATCTTGGTACTTCTCATAGGTGTACATCACTCCTCCAGTTGTGTTTAAAGCAATTCCTGGAAAATAATCACTGCAATGTATACTTTTAATTACGAGGAAAAAATATCTATTTGATATACCACATGTACAACTTAACCTGCTCAGAAACATCATAGAAATAAAAGTCAAAAATATAGAACTCACTGCCTGAAAATGTCAAAAAGTTTCCTATCTGCCAACAGCTTTAATAATATTGTTGAAAAAATCTATTAAATCTTACTTAAATGTTCTAGTCATGAGTGTTTGCAAATGATCATGCATTATTGTCACCACTACAATTCTACCACTCCATAAAATGCACATCACTGATCTGATGAATGCAATGTAAATTACCTGTAAGGCCTAAAACTATATGCTAGGACTAGAATTAGGTAGTAAGTTTTAGGAATAGTTTGCCCAAAATGCTTTACATAGTATGGAATAAGAGGTAGGTTACTGAAAACAGTCCCCTCAAGGGAGGTTCCTTGATGCTGGTGAGGGGCTCTTGATCTAGGGAATTGAATCTGTGCTCCAGTTCCCTGAATTAAGCCTGAATACCTTCCATCCCCCCACAGGCGCTTCCTCATGATTATAATAATAATAAAACTGAAAGCAGAGAAGAGTTTTACGAGAATAGTGAGGCTGTTACGACTTGCTCTATGCCGCAACAATATGGGAATAATTACTTCGTTTTGTTTTTTGGATAGTTTTATTTACTACCAATTATGAACTTTTATTGGTATCCAGGCAGTAAATTAAAATGACAATTCACTATTATCAATGAAATGAGACTGTACAATGAGGAACGTAATTCTATGTTCAAATCCTCATGAATTAAGCATAATACAATAATTACAATGAACAGTCCAAATAAGAACGACTATGGGAGCTTTTAAGGAAGTAAATCAGTTATCCTTCTTAACCCTTTCAGGGTCCGTCCCGTAGATCTACAGCTTTACGTTCAGGGTCCAAACCGTAGATCTACGCCATGAGCTCAGCTCACTCTGATAAACTGTGAGTGGTACATTTGGGCCTAGATATGAGAGAATACATCTATGTGGTATGTGTGCACCACATAAAACAGATCCTGCAGCACACTGTGTATAATGAGAGAAAAAAAATGAAATCATGATTTTTCGATTAAAACAGCAACTTTGCAGTGTTTTTTCGTATGTTTTTTATAGTTGTATTTGCGATTTCTTGGTCTCATTTGATAGAATGGAAGACATATTACAGAAATAGAGATGATTTTGATTGGTTTTAGCATTGGAAATGGCTTGAAACTGAGCTCAAAGTAGCGGAAATGTTAAATTTTTGCCGATATTCAAGAGTAAACAAACGACCTCACACGTCTAATACACGTCAGCTGGTGGGTCTAATATACATTCACAAATATGGTGATGATAATTTATACAATTATTACAGTATTGCATAACAGTAAATCTTCTATTTTTTGGTGTGAATAAAAATTCATTATGTGAATAAAAAATCAAAATGGAATTTATTTGTAAAGCCTCAAAACATAACTAATGAACAGAGGAAATGTTAGTTTAGTGCCAGGAATGCCTACATTGTTCATTCTGGACCCTATTTTGAAATTGGAATATTTTGAACTTTGTGTTAAATTGGCCAAATTAACAATTTCCGATCACTTTATTTTGTAGTTGAAACAGTTGACTTGGCGATTTCTTGTGCTCAATCGATAGAATAGAAGTAATACTAGTGAAATAGCTAAGAATTTGGTTGATTGGAATAATGTAATTGGCCTAAAATGGGAGTCAAAGTCGGCAAAATCGCCGATTCGTAAATATCGCTGACACATCAAAATTCGCGAGAGCATAATTTCGTCAATTTTCCACCAAATTTCGTACTTTTTGTTTTATTACCTTCACAAAAAGATTCTCTACGATTTCATAAGAAAAAATAACAAATTTTTTTTTTGAAAATTCTTGGACACTGGTGCGTGACTCCAGATTTGGGCCTTGGACCCTGAAAGGGTTAAGCAGAAGAGTTATCAGACTCTTGGAATTAACAGCAAAGTTAAGACAATAGGCATGATTTAGAATTATATTGACTAAGTTAAGATCTCTGGGTTGAAGACCCGATCAGAGTAAGTGCTATGATCTGACTAACTGTTCAAATGCTCAGTGGTCTGACATCAGGTCAGTCAGGAGGTAGCGCCAGGCACCAATTCTGGAACCATCAACCGGTCTCTAAAGTAGTGGTTTCCCACTTGCATAACAGAACACAGTAATCAACCTACTATAATACAATAATAATATAATACAATATAATATAATACTATAATAATGCCTAACGACTAACATCTTATTGAATACAACCTTGCTTGGGAGTATCTTTTATGATTTATACCGTACCAGATAATAATATATAGTCGAACCTGCTTTATCTAGCTAGTAATAAAGTGGTTCGCGATATATTATTACAGAACTTATTTTAACCAGGCCTTTTATTTTTGTATATAATGGAGTGTGAAGGAGGGGCACGTAACAGAAGCTCAGGTTAGAGTATGTAGGAGAGAGGGAGATTGTTTCCCAGTAAAAGTAGGCCTTAGACAGGGATGTGTGATATCATCATGGTTGTTCAATATATTTATAGATGGGGTTGTAAGAGAAGCGAAGTGTTGGCAAGAGGCATGGGGTTAAAAAATAAAGAATCTAGCACAAAGTGGGAGTTATCACAGTTGCTCTTTGCTGATGACACTGTGCTTTGGGAGATTCTGAAGAGAAGTTGCAGAGGTTGGTGGATGAATTTGGTAGGGCATGTAAAAAAAGGAAATTAACCCTTTCACTGTCAAGACCCCTGATCCTAAACTCACCATGTTGAAAAATATTAAAAAAAAAAAAATTCTTACCAAAATCTTAAGAATATTTTTGCGAGTGTTTTAAAAGGAAAAAAAAATTGTGATCAGTACTTACTGAGACAGAGGCATGAAGCTGACAGAAAGTGCACCGCTTATAGCAACTTCGGCAACTGCCGCTCACTTGGTAATATTATATTCACTTTTATTCTACTTTTTCTTTCAGTTTTTAATATTTTATTTTTTCAAGTAACTTTTATGGCCTGTGAGATCAATATAAGAAATAATGTAAATATATATTCACTCGCATGCTACACAATAACCGCACAAATATTATTATTATATTGTTTAAAAAACATGTTTACACAAACAAACAATAAAAAATGTTGTTTATTATGATTTTTCTATAATAGTATATATATACACATATAGAGTCACTGGACACATTCCTAGAAGTGCTGCAGCTTGTGAAACTCTTTGAAACATGGGTATGCACATGGTATTTTACACATCTCACACTTATAATTGAGTATCTTTACATTTTTTGGTATGTTTTGTTGTATATGTGCACAGAAAAAACTCGCTCTTTCAGAAAAATTTCTTATTATATTGTTAGTGATTCACACAAGCCTCAAAAAATGATTTGGTGATAAGTTCATAGGCATTTTCTACTGCAGTGTTTATTACTTAGGTACTGGTACTTTGAATACTATTTTTCAGATGACAAACAAAATTGCTATGGTGGTTGTTTGTCCAATCTTACACATATTATGAGCATTCGCATGGATTGTACACAGGATGAAAAAGTTTCATTTACCATTTTTAACTTTGCGAACCACAATCTGCAAACCAAAATTTGCATGTCACATTTGTCCACTGAATGCATATTGAGAGAAATATTCGATCAACAGCTGCAGTTCAGAATGGTTCATTGTCTCTCTATTCTGCTGCCATTTTGTCATTTCGTTTCAGTGAATCATGTCACAGGTGGACATCTCGTTTGTCATGCACCAAAATGCTGAAACAACTGGCAGCAACACTGCCACTCACTCTATGAGGTGCCTGCGTCGAACCTGGCTCTTGGGGTTTATGATTTGCCTGCACTGTACCATCATCAATCTGTCAATGTTCACTCACAAAAAAATCACTGAATAGGGCTGGTACCTGTTATCAGTATTAGTTGCCCCTACCAGGGATATGATTTGCATCATTGTTAACCACAACACAGAGTTTCACCAATAATTCCTGGATTTACAGGTGTATTACTCAGTGTACAATATAATATCCAATACAAAGACCACTGTAACCCAATCACAAAGTACAAAAACTTTTACTAAAGGCATTTCCTTTGTAAAATACTATCCAACGAAGACACTTGAATCAAAATACAAACAACTTTATACTAAAGCATTTCCTCTTGATAAAAATACATAGAGAATTTCTGTTTCAGATACATAAGCACATTCCAAATCTTATATAAACTGTTGTTTCTGTCAGGCCTGGTTTTGTCTGAGAAGTGTAGCATACATAATAGTAGCAGAAATCGATTTAATGGTATTATTTCACTGAAAGCTGGGGTTGAAATCAGGCGGCCTGTCAACCAGTATGATGTGACAGTGTGCTTATACACATATGGCATAAGCATTATCGTGGCAAGGAACAGATACATCTCAGCCACAGCTGTCTCCTTCCACTGGTGTAGGTGTGATCTTGGTGAAACAATTGTGTTTGCCATGGTATAATTGAAGTAGGTGTTACTTTCCCTGACATTAATTTCCACCAAGGGCTCGTCAAAGAATAACTCAAAACACGGCAGTTCAGTGGCATTGTTCCCGAGTGTACAAGATGGCCATATTCCACCTTGAGTTTCATCAAAGTGATGAGGATTGGGAACAAAATTGGCGCCCTGCTACAAATCCCAGATGCAGTCTGCTGGTGGGTACCGGATATTGACAAGTGGTTGTGGTCGTGCAGGTTGTTGCAGTTGTGGAGGTTGTTGGGGTGTGTAGGTGGCTGAGGGTGGACTTTGTTGTGGATGTGCTGAGTCAGCAGCGTGGCTACCAGCCTGGGGTGCTGCTGGTGCCACTTGACACCTAGCACCACCACCACCTGATGCTGCATGTATATTATCCATCCCAATTGCAACAATATCATTGTCATCTTCACTATCTGTTCCTGGTGTAGGGCCATGGGATGTACTCCGAGATGTGAAAGTTG